TTGTTTCTTATTTTAATTCTACTTAAATCCATTCATTACTTTCAAATGAAAGTACAATAAACAACAAACACACCTTTTGGACATAGCAACGACACGCAGTAGCTTTATTTTTGCAGTGTACATAACATATGCAAAATATGAAAATCAATTTGTATATACAAGTCTATGATTGAATAAATAATTATAAAATTTTAAACTTTATCGTGCTCTACATGTCGTCCTAAACTAGTATTTAAAACACTATTCACCTCTTATATAGCCTTGCTAACGAGACCGGTTCTAACAACCACGTGATATACACCAGGTATTCGAATGAAAACCTTGAAATTTCCCAAAAAAAAGTAATTTATTATCACACCGAGTAAAAATTGATTTCTGTCTAATTCGTTCCTCAAACGAAAGAAATCATATTTCTACTCTAAATCCATTCATTACTTTCAAATGAAAGTACAATAAACAACAAACACACCATTTGGACATAGCAACGACACGCAATAGCTCTAAATACAAAGAACGGGGAAATAAAAGTATAAAATCATTGATTTTAAATTCAATCCAACAAAATTCATATAAATCATAAGTCATTCAATATTTCAAACAATAAATACATAAACTTTTACAGAAATTTTCCAATAAAATGTTTTGAAAACAATTTAATAATCACCAAATAAAATACATGTATTCACTCCATTACTTTTATACAAACAAACAACAACATTCTATGCATGACAGCCAGTGGTGCGTGCGCTGGACGCTGTATTTTATTAACAGTACATAAATATACATATATAGAACATTGTGTATGAACCCCTCAAAACTGCTGCATCTATTATACTTCTAATATATTCTTTGTGATAAACATGAAAAGCATCGGGGCCGGCCAGAAAACTAGAGATAAAAATAATTTTTAAAAAACTCTAGAAACCTGTGTCCGTTGCCAAGTGCCGCTGGATGCAAAAAATGCTGGACGGACCTCACAACCTTACCAATAAAACCTAAAAAATCAAATATATGTATATAAATTTCTTCACTTATACCCTTTATACATAAATTTAAAAAATTTAGCTGTTCCTTAAGTGGGCAGCTAAGTGCAACCTTAAAAAAACAGTTCTTATTACACCTTAAAATCAATTCTTATCGGTCACTCTCTGACCAATCCACACAACATGCGTATAAATATCTTGTCATTAATACAACATTTTCTCACTATACTAGCGAAACGCCGGAAAATATCAATACATGTATATCCATCCTAAAAAAGAATTCAATTCACCGTCGTCTTTTGAAAATCCATAACGCATTTCACCATGTGAGTCTGATTGTAAAAGTCCTGATGATATGCACACATCCTATCCATACATCGATAAATGCTTGCTGCACTTGAATTTTGAGTATAGTTTCAAGTCAAATCAACTCAAACCATACGATTTATGTATGTCAAAAGACTTCAAATATATCAAATGAATTAACACAGTTATACATAGAAGTATATTCATCATCCAATATCAAAATAACACAAAATACACATTCCCTGTGAAACATCTTGAATCCCATCTCAATTCCTTGGATATGTGCCTTTTTGAAACTCATTATTGGTACACCGATTAATACCTCATGGTCCTTGAATTAAACGTAAGAAGAAAATAACCAATAATACCTGGAAAAACAAATTCAATGTTAGAAAACTGATAGATACATATATCTTGTAACTCTGATATTAGTAAATATGTATAGGATCTTTTTTCTCTCTCTTAATCTATATTAAAAAAATCAAAGTCATCATCATTGTGGCTAGCAAAACATGCTACTATCATTAAATGATAAAATGAATAAAATTTCCCACCATTAAGTTCAAAATTTATGAATTGTACTGATCATTTTTTAAATTAAAAACATGAAAGTGTTTGTATAAACATCCATTTGATTATCAAGTTATGAAAACCTTATTTTCATCAGAATAATCAACATTTATTTTACTATTTGAAGAAATACTTCCTACTGAAAACAATCTCACCAAATGGCATCAAAACCAATGTGGTTGGATAAACATCCATAAAATCATTTTATGATATAATTTATCAAAAGTTCAAATTCCAATAAAATTTTACTTTATTTTCATCAGAATAATCAACCTTTACTTTACTTCTTATGTAGAAATACCTTCTACACAAACAAATCTCGCCAAATGGCATCACCACAAAAGTGGTTGGATACAAATCCATACATTCACTTTATTATATAATTTATCAAAAGTTCAAATTCCAATCAAAATTTACTTTATTTTCATTAAGATTATCAACCTTTATTTTACTACTTATGCAGAAAAACTTTCTACATAAACAAATCTCGCCAAATGGCCTCACCACAAATGTGGTTAGATACAAATCCATACATTCATTTTATGATATAATTGATCAAAAAGTTCAAATTCCAATTAAATTTTACTTTCTTCATCAGAATTATCAACTTTTACTGTACTTTTATATGTAAAAATACTTTTACTATAACCAACTCGCCAAATGGCATCACCACAATACGGTTCAAAAAACATCCATAAATTCATACTATGTGAAAAATTTATCAAAAACTTCAAGTTAAATCAAAATTTTTCTTTGATTTCATGAAAATTATAAACTTTTACTTTAACATATTACCAAGAAGCACTTTCTACGGAAACCAGTCTTACTAAATGGCTTCATCACATATGTGGTTGGACTAACTTCCATAAATTCAAACTCGCATGACTAAGAACCCCTTTCTACTTTAACCAAATCGCCAAATGGCAACACCACAAATGTAGTTGGATAAACATCTATAACATATCATTTTATGATAAAATGTGCAAAGCATTCGAATCCAATCAATTTCTATTTCATAGTATCAGCAATATAATGAAAACAATCTTAAATAGATTGCCAAATGACAATACCATATACATGGTTGGAAAACACGTAAAAGCATGATATGCTAAATTGTGCCAAAGTTATTCATATTCAAACCCAACTCAATATTATTTCAAACGGAAATATTAATTTTCATTAGACTATTTTTGTACTTCTCATTGTCTACTGAAATCTATCCCGCCAAAAACCAAACACGATAGATGCGTTATGATAAACATCCATAAAGTATTTTATGCTAAGCTGAGTTAGAGTTGGAATTCCCTTCAAATTCTATTTTTGTTTTAAATTAAAAAATAACAGCTTTTAAATAGCTACAGTATTATAAAAATCATTTCCAGTGAAAACTAATTTCAATAAAAGTAAATACTCCAAAAATTGTTGCCAATTAATAAACATTCCTTATATCATTTCATTATAAAATGAAATATATCAACGTTATCAAAATTCAAATCCCAAACACTACCAAACACGAATATTGTGCAAAACAGCTCATGAAATTAACATTCAGAAAAGATTTAATTCAATTTTAGTGAATCATTTTTAGAATTAGAATTCATAGACAAAATGTCCTTTTTACTAGAAAATCAAAACCGACAAAATTAGTTTCTGTTATGAAAACTTTTTAGAATTGAAACTAAATACTAATTCTTTTTCTAAAAACTCAATCAAGCCAATTAACAACACTCTGCAAATACTGCAAAATTATCATTCCTATAAATATTTTATACCATCTTAATCTTCTTTTTTTAAAAAAAATTAATACTCCATTGATAAATTTCAATTTTAAGTAGATAATTCAAATGAGACCTTAGTTTAACTACAATGTAAATCTAAATGCAAATATTCTAATCCTTTAATTCTCTTTCACAAAGCCGTACCTGTCCAGCATTGATTATAAGACAAGTAGAACTGTTTTTCTATATAATTTATATGTCATTAATACATATACTTGGTTTACTTGATACCAAACAAAAATTATTATGCCCCATACTCTACTATAAGGATTCATGATTGAATGATCTAAAATCAATAAAAACAATTTTTATACTCAAAAATCAAATATGAAATGCTTCTCTTTTCCCCTTGTGATGGAGTCCGCATGAAATTTAACTTTTAATTGGCATAAAACGCAAAGAAAAAAAACTACCGTACTTTTCTAGAGATCTTAAAAACACCTTCTTCATTATACTTATCGTGATACCAACCCCAACATGTAACTACCTGAAACATAAGAATATACTCTTTTCAATATATTTAAAACTTTTCATTTCAGTAGCACATTTGACAAAATGGCAAGAAACTGAAATTGAAAAATTCAAACAATTTTAATTTATCGATATTTTCTATACTCAGGAAATTCCCTTGTTATAATGCTGATGCATTTAGTACGTTTTAAAATGATAAACAAATATATTTAATTGGATATAAGTGCAAATATAATATCTTATAAAATTCTACACTTGTTTTAATTGAAAAATAAATTAACGTAACGTATTTGTTTTGCTTTTCAGAAACACCAGTTTTCTTCCTTTAACAAATCCATCTTTCTTGAAAACAAATTATCTATTTCTTGAAATAACTTCTATTATCATATACTGACTAGAATTAACGAATCTCATAATTTAATACAATCATGTATTTGTTTTCAAATTCTCTCTATTACAAACCTTGTTATCAATTATTTATTACTTTTTCAAAAACTGATCAATTGTATTCTCAAATGAATACTTATCTTGTAAAAACAAGATGTAGGATGGCTTTTCTTTGATGACCTCGTTTTCCACACTGTCAAATCTCTCTCCAACTCTATTTTCTGTGATTTCATATCATCTACAATGGCTAAACATGTCGATGAACCACGCCCTACGCCACTTCGTTCTGTATCTGAGATTTAAACTTTATCGTGCTCTACGTGTCGTCCTAAACTGTATTAAAACACTATTCACCTCTTATATAGCCTTGCTAACGAGACCGGTTCTAACGAACCACGTGATATACACCAGGTATTCGAATGAAAACCTTGTAATTCCAAAAAAGTAATTTATTATCACACCGAGTAGAAATTGATTTCTGTCTAATTCGTTCCTCAAACGAAAGAAATCATATTTGGCAAAGAACAGTCAGTTCTACTGCAAACTTCAGACGAAAGAATCAAAGCACAAAGAGATTTGTACCAGGAGCAAAGAATAACAGCAAAGAAGGTAAAAAATAATGTTTATGTAAAATGGAGATCAATGTACATGACATGAATTTTCGCGACAACTTTTTTCGTTTTTCGGTGTTTATCAGCAAGATAAAATTTTCACGAAAGCTGTTTTTTCTGCACACATCCTTTGCAAGTGAAAATATATAATTATATACCAAAGTTAAATCCTCTCTGTAAATATGTGAACTTTAAAGTTTAACAAATAGTGGTTTACATTTGTAAGCATGCAATTCCTTGACCATTGCTTTAATAATTTCTTTAATTAGGAAAAAGCACAATTCACTTTTTAAAATCTTTGAGTTTGGAGGAGCACAATTGAATTGATTGTAATTAATTATTAATCAACAGATATTCCGCAGAGTTGCACGGGAAACCGTACGGGATTTGATTATTCTTGCGACCAGACAGGCTATCTCAAGGTAAATGATTTGTAATTGAACATGTTACATTCTTTAAATCAAGTGATCTCTCTTTTGCCATTCTAAGCCAACAATATACCATTCCAACATTTCAAGAGCATATATGTATAGATGGAAAACATTGTTAATATCATATATTTTCAAAGCATGTTGAAATATTATTTTGTTTTGTTTTGTTTTTAGCCAAGAAAAAGGACAGTCAGCTATTCCCCCGTACAGATTTACAAATTACAACACACAGAAATTGAAAATACAAAAGAAGGTATCTGTTGAACAGAGATTTTTATTTCAAATACATAATATATTTCATATTATACTTTATTATATAGTCGTACCATCTCTGACTATTGTTTTCCCTAATAATGATATTTTGTTTGAACTTTCTGTAGGTCAAGGTCATCATTGGCTCTGAGATTGTTCATTATTCCCTCACCCTTTCGACCAGACCTGCAAAATGTGCTGAAGTAGCGTGCATGGGGATGCAGGGCTCTTGAAGACCACAGGAAAATAACTCCAAAGGTATAAAAGTTCTTGGAAGGCTTAGGCATGTATCTTTACTAAAATATAATTTATTCTACTCTTATCATTTATGTACGTAAATATCTAAAATATATACTAATAAATGTAATTTACGTATGCATCTATAAATTATACAGTTAGAATCCAGTATCTCGAATTGTGTTATATCGAATCTGACGAATCACCCATATCTCGAATATCAGAGATATGCTGAAGTCAGTTAACTGTCCCAACCATATTTTTTATGCCCCCATAAACGAAGTTTCGGGGTATATAGTTTTTGTCGTGTCCATCTGTCTGTCTCTCTCTCTGTCTGTCTGTCTGTCTCTATGTTTGTCTGCAAAAACTTTAACCTTACCCATAACTTTTGATTTAGTGGAGCTATGACTTTCATATTTCTTATGTGTATTCCTTGTGACAGGACCTTTCTTTGGGTACCACCAAATTTGACCTTTTGACCTTGACCTTGGAGTTTGACCCACTTTTACATGAAAATTTTAACTTTTTACTTTGGCCATATCTTTTGAACAGTATATACCAGGACATTTATACTTCATATTTGTATTCTTTGTTGAAAGACATTTCATTGGATATCAACAACCTTGACCCTTTGACCTTCACCTTGTAGATTTCCTTACTTCTGAAAAAACTTAAACCTTGGCCATAACTTTTGAACAGTAAGGGATAGGGCTTCCATACTTCATATATGTATTCCTTGTGAAAAGACCCTTCATTGGATACCAAGAATTTTTACCCTTTGACCTTGACCTTTGAGATTGACCTACTTTAAAAAAGCAAACATTGACCATAACTTTTAAAGAGTTAGGGCTAGTGCTTTCATACTTTACATATTTTACCCTTATGACAAGACCTTTCATTTGATACAGTCCCTGAAACGTTCTACTTTCCCTCCTGAACGGTGAACGAACGCAGAGCGAACGGTGAGTGAACGATGTGCGAACGGTGAACGCAACTTGGTGAACGATGTGTGAACGGTGAACGGTGAGTGAACGCAGAACGCGAACGGAGCGCGAACGCGAGCGCAAAGTGAACGGTGAACGAACGGTGAACGCAAGATGAACGATTTATTCGGAATGCCTTCGGTGTTTTCCTTGTATTGAAATCATTCTTTTATTCCATAATTCAAATGTCAAAAATAAATATAAATTCACAATAGATAAACAAAAGAGAAGAATACACAATAGATAAACAAAAGAGAAATAAATAGATAAATAAATAAATAGTAAAAAAAAAAAAAAATTCGACACATACCTATGTTTAAATCGATATTTTAATAACATGATTTTAATCGCCGTCAAACGTGTATTTGTTACCGCGTGTACTTTAAAAATAAATTAATCTACTTATATAGTAAATAATTATGCTTATTCTTTTCAATAAAAAAATAATGTGGACTTGAAGATAAAATCTACTTAT